ATGGTTGATCGTTGGTTTGCGAAGCTTCCCGCAGCCTCTGCAGCACAGTTTCAATCCCTGGCTACTCCCCAGCCACCAGAGGGTCCCACATGGTACACAGACCTACCCTGACGCCCGCTGCTCCCTTCAGCAGCGTACCATGGTCCTTTCTTCTGCTCTGCTCCCCGCTCTGTCTCTCTGGTGAATTCTCTCACCCTCCCGCGCTTCTGACTGTACCCAGTGCATGTATAAATAAATAAATCTTTTTTTAAAAAGTGTGATTTAAAAAAATAATAAAAAATAAAATAATTTAGTAATGAGTTTGTTTTGTATTTAAGGGAAGACAAAGCATGGACTGGGAGAACGCAGTTCCTCACAACAGGAGCGCACCCTTCCCAAGGGTGCTTGGGCTCATGAGTTAGTTAATAGAACATTGGCAGCAGCAGCAGGGAGACAGGGCCCTATCAGCTGGAGGGTGGGGATTTCCTGCTAAGGCATGAAGGTCACTCAGGGAATAATGGACTATTTGGCCTGGGTTCACAGGCTGGGGTTGCAAATCTGACCTTACTTAGAACATGGTGTAACGGCACAAGGACACGAAGCAGCATCGCTATGATCCGAGAAGATGGCGGGTAAAGGAAGAGTCCTGGCTTTTATTGGGATTTACCAGGCACATGGCAGGCAGGGGTGCTGGGGGGTCAGGAGGCTGGCAGGCTTCCCAGCCCCAGCAAGTCTTCACTCTTTCTGGGCTCTCCGGCCTTCTCTGGTGGACTCTGCTTCCCTGCTCTCTTGTGGTTCTGCTCTTCCGTTCGTTCTTCTTCTCCTGTGGTTCTTTCATTTGTTCTGCTGGTGTCCCCATGACGCCGCCCTTATAAGCCCAATCTCTCAGCCCAGGTTAATCCCATCTACACATGTCCTCACCCTACTCCAGGTGCCTGCCATCAGGCATGAATTCAGGACCACAGGATCCACCATCAATCCTAATGGCGGGGGCAGAAAAGCCTGACACTTTACTTACTCTACACATGGAAATCACTACAGATCCCTGAACTTGAAGGATTGACTTTCTGGCCCAGGGAATGTGTTTCTGGTCAAGCACAGTATTTATAGGGACACAAAAGGCTTCTAGATTTCAATACCTGACATGGCACCTGGGCAGGAGCAGCACTGTCTTGGCTCTAAAATCCATTTCCACTGGTCATATTTGTTTTCCTCTCTTCTGTCCCTGTTCTTAGTGGGGTGTGTCTCTGCTGTTCGCTAAGTGGCATGAAAGGAGATAATCATCTACAAGAGACATACATCAAGAAAAATAATAGGAGAGGAATCTGGGTCAAAACACAGTCACAATGTAGCCATGTCTTTCCATCAGCCCTCCGGAGGAGTTTGGAGGGTCTGATCAAAATCAGTGATCTCCAGAGGAGAGATCATGTGTTGCCTGAGGGGGCAGTACTTGAACTCAGCCTGAGTCATCCTGCAGCTTCCATGAATGAAGCTGTTCTCATAGAATCAGAGGTCAGTCAGACAGTTGGGGGGTGAGGCAGACCCTGCCCCAGGCAGGATGTTCATGAGGAGCCAAGTAGTGAAGTCTGGACCTTCAGATTTATCCTCTGGGACTCTGTTGGGCCTTATCTCATCTGGTACAGTGCTCTCTGGCCATCAGGAATCTGAGAACTAGGGCCTCCCCTGGTGGCACAGGCAGTTGAGTGCAGCTGCTGTGAAGCTGTCTGCAGCCTCTGTGGAGCTAGTTCAATCCCAGCTGCCTGGCGAGGGTCCGACATGGCGAGCAGACCTCTCCTGTCTCGCCTGCTGCTCCCCTCAGCAGTGTATTTCATCACTCTGCTTGTTCTGTTCCCTGCTCTGTCTCTGGTGAATCCTCTCACCCTCCCGCACATCTGGCCTGTACCCTGGTTCTTGTATAAATAAATAAATAAATCTTTAAAAAAAGAGGGAGATAAATTAGACATTTTGGAAAAAAAAAGGAATCTGAGAACTAATCTAATTGGACGTGTTCATTTCAGTCATAGGGCATACATTGCATGGCACAGGTGACTAACTAGTGAAATGGGCAAGTGCTGGGAAAGCAAATGGAGGAAAGCCATTGGTATATTTTGACAACAAAACTGTGTATACAAATTTTGTTCTTTTTTTTCAATTTATGTCTTTATAACATCATGTGTTTAATAGTTTTTTTTTTCTTAATTGTCTGTTAAGACACTGCTTAAAGATCACAGAGACTTTGATTCATAAAGATGAAAGGGAGGGTCTTCATTTTAGTTCCTCATTATTTCTCATTTTATTATTTTTAACTATTTATTTATGGATACAAGAACTGGGGTAGAAGCCAGCGGCATGGGTGGGGTTGGTTTGAGAGGATTCCCCATAGACAGAGTGGGGAGCAGAACAGGTGGACTGACTGAAATACACTGCTGAGGGGAGCAGAGCGCCAGACAGGAGAGGTTTGCTGCACCATATGGATTAGTTCCCAGCTTGGGGATGGAACTCATGCTGAGGTGGCTGTCCATAGCTTCACAGTATTATGACTTAAACCCTTGCACACCGGGGAGGTCCCAGTTTTTCATTTTATACAGGTGTTTGTTGGAGATCCCAGGGCCATGAGCTCCCTGGCAGGATGGGAGCACCCACTCCCTCCCTTGTAGCCTGTGCCCCTTTCCAGAAATAAGTCTGTCATCTCAGATCCAGCAACTACCCCCAGCGAACCTATGGTGTTAGACACAGGATCATGCCCTTCCATCAACATTGACCTCTTTTTTTATCCCTTGAAAATAATTAAAGCATGAGGCACATACCAGTGATCTCAGTCAATACATGACAAAAGTTCAACTCCTTGACTCACACAGGAGTACCTGAAGTAATCCGAAGTTAAGGCTTACACGGGGTGCCTTTAAAAATTTGACTTGAGGTCCTCCCCTGTGGCAGGCATAGCCCTATGGGTTGAGCTCAGCACTGTGAAGCCAGGGAGATTCCCACATGGTGCTGCAGACCTCTCCTGTCTCACCCTCTGCTTCCCTCAGCATTGTATTTCGGTCCTTCTGCCTGTTCTGCTCCCTGCTCACGTCTGGTGAGTCCTCTCACCCTCCCTCGCCTCTGGCCTGTACCCCAGCGCTTGTATAAATGAATAAATCTTAAAAAAAAAATTTGGGGTTGAGCAAGCCCAGGATTAATTCAGTTACAGGATGCTTCCTTACAAAATACATGAAAAGACACTATTAAGTGTCCATTCATAAGACCAGATATAATGCAGAGAATGATACAAAGATGTACTATAAAAGGATAATATTACATCCCGTTGTTTGGAGATTTGGCTTGAAAAAGAAGAGACTAAGTAGGAATTATCTCACAGATAAGTGGAATTTAGAAATAGGAAGAATTTGATGCTAAATGTACTATTGGTATTGGCATTGGTGCTGGTTTCCAAAGTAGGATGCATAAGACAACATGTTTGGTATGCAAGAAAGAGTTCATACTACTTTTGTATTTGCTTTTACCTTATCTTTTAATTTTAATTGTTAGTGTATGTAAGGTAAAATACCCAGTGCATTTCTACCTTGGCTCATGTAACTTATTACTTAAAACAACTACTGGAAACTGGTCCTAAAACTTACACACAAAATAATAAGCCATTATGGGGGTGTGGGGAAATAAGTAGAAATATATGCTTCTCAAAAATCAAGAATTATTTTATTTTATTTATTTTTTTTTTTTAAGAATTATTTTAAATTTAGAGTAACTAAGATCTTTTGTTCGTGGAATAGGGCAGTGGCCCCAGTTTTAAAAGGGAAGTTCTGACTTCACGCTTTACCCTTAGGGGAACTGGCACTACACTGAAGGAAGAGCAGGGAGTGTGATGTGAAATATAGAAGCTAACTTTTCACAAGTTGACTATGAAAAAAAATCAGAGTAATGACAGAATAGTCAATAATTTGAAATTGCCCTCCACTTGAAGATTCCTACCTTACCCTAAACACAAAAATTACTTCAAGGCAAATCAAGGAAATAAATATTGGCCTTAGCATTATTGCAGAATGTAGATGAGAATATGATGATGCACCAAGGTAAGGAACAGGCTTCCTTAAAGCTTCAAAAGACTAAACACAGTCCCTGGTACAACAACAGGAGAAGTGAAAGCTGGTTCTGTTAGGACACAGCTCCTTGTTGTCTGAGGTCACGGAAATGAGAGAGAGCTGCAGTTTTGACTTTGGGTGTTGGACTCAAAATGGAGAAATGTGATGAGCTGTCAGAGCAGCAGCTGCAGGGCCGCCAGGAGAGGAGAGTTTTAGTGCCTGGGAGAAGCCCAGGGGGCAGTCATGTGTCAGGCTGGGAATTACCAAGTTTCAGACAGAGACATATTTTATCTGTTATTGCTAATAAATATAAGTAGGTCACAGACATAGACTAATCTATAGCGATCAATTTTCTCCACACTTTCACTTTATTAAAAATACCATGGTTGCTTATGGTGAGAGAAACAGTAGTTTGTCTAAAAGATAAGACGACAGTTCCCAGTTTGAGATCTCCAGGAAGTCTCAGGTTGCATTCCATCATTTCTCTTACTCCTGAGAGATGAATAAGCCCCATTCCCAGGCCTCATCTCTGGATAAGGATTGGGTCAATGTATCAGGACAGCTGCCTCCCCACATTGCTTTCCCCATGTCTCCTCTGCTAGACCCCGCGCTGGAGACCTTGTCTGTGCAGGGAGCAGATTCTACTGGCTCCTGGGCCTGGGGGAGCTGAAAGGACTCTGTGTGCCATGTTGTTTCCTATGACCTAGAGATGGGAGCTCAGTCCTTAGGGAAGCCTTGGAGCTCAGCTGGTTGGGGGAGAGGGAAGAGAGTGGATATGAGGGAGGAACTGGACACTGAGTCCAGGGCTTCTCTTCCTTCTGAGCACAGTGAAGTCAGGGCAGGAAGTGAGGCAGGGCCTGGCCCATCCTGGGTACCAGGGCTGAACCTGGCAGCTGCAAGCAGAATTATGTGCAGGCGAGGGGAAGTCTGCGTCACTGTGGCTGTCCCAGGCGGCGCAGTAATATACACCAGCATCGCTGTCTGCCAGATTTTGGATGACAAATTTACAGGTCCTTCCCGAGCCTTCATAAACATCATATTTTTCTGGACTAGTTCCGTCTTCTAACACAACCTTTGAGCCAGTGAACGAAAAGTAGAGAAGGCGGTGTGGGGCCTTTCCCTCTTGATGTCGGTACCAGTGGATGTAGTGGACGGTTTTGTCAACAATATCACAGGTGATTATAGCGGACGACCCATTCTGCTTGGTTATTGACAACTTTCTCCATTCTGATTTGAAGGATATCTGACTGGCTATGAAGGAAAAAAAAAATAATAATAATAATAAAGAGGTAGCTCGAACCCCTTCGTGTGGCCTCCCACTGACATAAAATGAAGAAAATCCCATGAGCTCTAAGCAATATACTTACCAGGAGCCAGGAAAGCTAGGAGTAGAGCTAGAGCCCACAGCATGGCTTCCTGCTGACACTTGGAAGGGAATGGAGGAGCCCTTAGGAGCTGAATATGGTCTCACAAGTGAAATCTTACTCAAGAAAGTAGGCCAGAGAAAGAGGCTGGGAATGAAGTTGGGGCTTCATTCACAGGCAGCCAGGGGCTGTGAGGTAACTGAGGTTCTGTCCTAGGAGAGGCCAGGCTGATGGTGCAGAGGAAATGGTGCTGGGGGCCCTGGGGGAGGAGCTCTGCCTCTGCTCCTACCCTTTATGGGCCCCTCCTGTGGCAGCTGAGAGCAGCCCCTCCAGGGGAGCCAGGGCAGGGGGCCCAGACCTGGGGCAGACTAAGAGCAAGTGGAGCAGGCTGGGGAGGGACACTGCAGACAAAGCTGCCTGTGGGCAGTGCAGTGAGCAGTCCTGAGTCAGCCTAGCTTCATGCAATTCAATGGCAGTTTTAAAACTTCCACCAGGGTCTTTTCTTTGATGCAGCTTCTTTATCTTACCCTAAACCACTTTGCTTTTTATACTTCTGAGTCAACATCGCAACCCACAGCAAATCAGATGAGTACTAGACCCACTTCAGTCAAAGAAACTAGATCAGTTCTAATGGGCTACTTTGACTCTCCTCAAAGGCAAATGGGTGTGTTTGTCTGTGCCCAGGGGGGTTAAAATTAGTTAGAGCATTTCAGTTGGTCCCAATAAAAGGCCACTTCACAAATTGCTGCCGGATTTACTAGGGAACATAAAACAGTGTGGTAGGCAATTCTGGAAACTGCTTGATCAAAAAAAAAAAAACCTTCATGTTTATCTTGAATTCAAACTTCCTGGGGCACTCTGTACTTTATTTGGCAGTCCTGCCTTCAGAGGGTATAATGGTATGGCTGCTTAGTGGAATTTATAACGGGGTCTACAGGTAATTTAAAAAGTGTAGTAAAATCGGGCCTCCCCTCGTGGCGCAGCAGTTGAGCACTGGGCAGCGAGGCTGCCCACAGCCTCTGCAGTGCCGGTCGTTCCCCGGCAGCCGGCGAGGGTCCCACAAATGACAAAAAAAAGGTCGTAAAATCATAGCAGAATGTGTATGGTATGTTCACAGATTTTCATTCACCACTTTTATAAATTATTTGGCTCTGTTTAATATACAAATAGAATAGTAGGATGCCTCCATCATTGTTTTGGCCTCTTACTCTCAGGTGATTCATGTTCTGCTGTCTCATCAGCCAGCTGGGGTACAGAAAGGAAGGAGACTGGGCTGATCTTCCTTTCTTGTCAGGGTCACGTGCATGCGATATGAGGCTGCCTCAGTGGCAAAATATCCCAGAGCGTCCTGCAGGAAGCAAACTTTCAGTGTCTTCATTGTTGTTGTTTTTATGTTTAATCATGGAGTGGAGGCATTTTTCAATAAGGCATGAAACTGAGAGGCTAGAAACAGAGACTGATAAAATATAGGAAAACCTCAGAACAAAACTAGCTTGTAACATAATAGTATAATTGTGCTCAGTGGGGTTGGGGTGGGGTGGAGGTGGGGAGCTTCTGGTCCTAAATTAATTTGATGGGAAGATATGTTAACACAATCTATGCACAGAGAGGGCAATGCTGGGCTTGGGAATTCACTTCCCTCCTGAGCAGAGAATGCATTGAGTTCAGACAAGGCTGGGTTCCCATGTTTCAGTTTTCATTAAGTAGCTCAGGGGGGGGCCGTCAATGGGTGTTTAAAGACTGGTTACCCACGTCTGCGGATTCTTGCAGAACTGCTTTACAGGGAGGGTGGCAGCAGCCAGACTTGACTCTATGCAGAGGGCTTTGCTCTTTTGCCAGCTAGACCAGAATATTTATCACAGTTCACAAGTCTAAGCTCAGCATTGCACATTATCTTCTTCACCTGGTCCTGATAATTGTACATGTCACATGTCGAGAGAGCAGAATTATGGTGACAATAGAACCATAAAAAATTTGCTGCCTTAGGGAAAAATTTCCAGCATACAGATTATTGTTTGTATTTCTGTTTCTGTTAACCCTCAGGTGAGATCTTGCAGAAATACAGGGAAGTGTCTGTTTATCCTGAATCATTATATTTTCCTATGATTTCATGATCCTTGAATGGTTGTAGGTCTCTGTGGTTTGCTGCCCAGTGCTGCAGCCCCATTGTGTGTGCAGTGACCTTCCCAAAGTCACACTCCCCTATATCTAGAGCACCTGGAACCCCGGGGGGACATGTAATACAAATTCACAGTAAAATTAGCATACTTGTGTTTGAGAAGATTCTTACAAGGGTGTCAGTAACAAGGGATTGTACACTCTGTTCATTCCCTAAAAGATTAAAAGAAGCTGTTGGTTGACCAGAATGATCACAGTCTGGGCTGTGACATGGTTGGGAACCAGTGACTCTTTATGCAAATCACCCTCATCACAATGGGCTGGCAAAGGAGTAGACTAGAATCCACAGAAAGTCAGACTAGGTGGATGTAAGGTCCCCGATTCATTTTCCTGTGCCCAGTGCTGCTTTGTGCCGCCCCAGATTCTCAGGAAGCAGCAACAGCTCCTACCAGTGCTGTGGCATTACCAGAGCAAGTACAAGTTCTAGGAAAGTTGAGTGTAGGCCAAAAGCCTCAGGCAAAGCTGTGGCCCTTGCCTGCTTTCCCACAGGCTCTGTGACTGCCAGGTGTACTGGTCTTCAGGGCACTGTGGGTGCACATCCACTCCACACAGCTGCCAGTTTCCCCAACTTCCTTGCGCTGATATGGGCCAGACCCAGCCTGGGGGCTCAGCTCTCTGGGCATGACCCATAAACCAAGTGCCCAGAGATGGAGCTGCCACAAAGGTATTTTCTTTGATGCAATTTTTTTTATTCTTGCCCTGATCCACTTTGCTTTTTATACTTGTAAGTAAACTGAAGGCACCCACAGCAAATCTGATAAGTAGTGGACCCATTTTAGTCAAAAAAGAAAAAAAAAAACAAAACCTGGATCAGTTACATTGGGCTGATTTTTACTCTCCTCTAAAGTAAGTAGCTGTGTGTGTGTCTGTGCCCGTGCAGGGGTGTAAAATCAGATAGAGGATTTCTGTTCATCCTAATAAAAGGCACCTCACACAGGGCTGTCAGATTTATAAGGAAAAAGAAAATACACTGTGTAGGACAGTTCTGAAACCTACTTAGTCTAAAGAAATTTCCTGTTTGTCTTTAATTCAAACTTAGCTGGACCCAGGGCCTCCCTTAGTGGCGCAGTGGTTCAGAGCTGGGCTGTGAGGCTACCCGCAGCCTCTGCAGCACAGGTTCATTCCCCGGCGAAGGTCCCACCAAAAAAAAAAAAAAAAAAAAAAAAAAATCAAACTTAGCTGGACCCCCTGTACTTTATTTACTGAGAGCTGCAGTTTACTTGAATTTATAGAGGGAACACCGGTAATTAAACAGTATAGCAAAGGCAGGTGGAATTTTATGACATGTACACAGATTGTCAGTCACCAGCTTTACACATTTTTTGGCCATATGGTTAACATAATAATAACAGCAGAGGAGGGGCAGCCAGAATGTGGGGGAGGGGGTCCGTGGGGGAAGAAGTCCCTGAGAACCTTCCAGAAGACATTCATGAGTCGGACTGAGTATTGGTCCATTTCAGAGAGGCCACTGTCTGTTACTGCTAGCACATAAGTTCTTTAATATCCTTTGACTAAAAATCAATTGGGAAGATTATTGAGAAAATGACATTTTAAGGCTTCAGTCCCGGATTCTGATTCATTGTGGTGCTGCTACCCAAAACCTGCACTTTTATACAAAGGCTTCCAGGTACTTCTGATGCAGTGTATTTTGCAGTGCTTCCATGGACACACTTTGAGAAACACTGTTCTAGGAGTTTGGAATGCCAGATGAATGTTCAAGTGTTCTCACAGACAGTTGACTGGTTCAAATAGCATGATCTGCACTCATGGGCTATCCATAATTCAGAGTTAATTTTACATCTTTAATCTTGGCTGAATATGGCAGCCACAATCCTTTCCTAAAAATACTATCAAATTTTTATTTAGTGCAAATACTGAAATGTTGTCATTTCTACTTACAATCAACAGAAAAATCACAGATATGATATGTTACTATCCGGATGCTAAATCTTCAAAATACAGTTTGTATTTCACAAATGAAGTTGCGCGCAGCTGGGCTACTGCTCTAGTGCTCAGTACCACTGGTGGCTCGTGGGTACTGGATTGCACAGCACAGATTCTCCTCCAAATGCTTCAGAAACGCTGAATGGGATGATCTTTACAAAGGTCCCTTCCTACTAGACAGCTCCCCAAGTCCTCAGGGAACTGAGCCTATCTGCTCAGGAGCTCCCTTTGGTAATTTGCAGAACAGCCAGGGAGCAGGCACAGTGTCTTGGATGGGGTGGGATTAAACCAGGTCAACCCCAGGGAGCCAAAGGTGGGAGTTACCAGACCTGGGCAAATTAAGAAATCCAGGTGCTTTTTGAGCGGCTGCCAAGGCGGGGCGCCAGGCTGTGGTGTCCCAGGCCGCGCAGTAGTACCTTCCCTCGTCGCCCTTCTGCAGCCTCAGCACTCTCAGGGTGCAGTTGGAGCCTTCCTCGGAATACGTGGCCCTGACTTTATCCGCTTTCAGGACCGAATCCCACTGCACATCTGAATTGGCCGTGGCCAGTCTGAGGAGCCTCTCGGGGGCCCTGCCCTCCTGGTGGCGGTACCAGTGGATGTAGCTGACCTTGGTGCCGACCACACAGGGCAGGAAGGCCGAGCTGCCCGCTCGCCTAGTCAATGACAGCGGCTGCTCCAGCGTGACTGCTGCCAGGGAGCCTGCGAGACATGGAGGTGAGGCAGGGGATGGGGACCCTCACAGCCTCCTTACCCATCTCCCCATTCCCCAGCCTCCCACATCTTCTCCAACACCCCAGCCCCACTCTGGCAATACAACAGATGGAAGAACAGGACTTACAGGGAAACTGGAGGGCCCCCAGGAGGGCAAGGAGCCCCAGCATGGTTCTGTGTCTGCCCAGTGGACTGAAGCCCAGAGACCCCATG